GCATGGCCGCTCTTTTCAGCCAACTTGCTGTAAGATGGTCTTCCACTTCCTCCAGCGACTTGCTGATCCAGTTGTCCAGCATCACCGCATCTGTTCGACTCGAAGGGTTGTCGGAAGGGAAGACCTGGTTACAAGGTGATCTCTGAACTAAACCTCTACTACCCTACGAACCCCAAACCGTAAGGCCCTGAGCACGGAAGCCCGGAAGTTGTGCAGCCCTTGCCTTTGTATGCCAGAGGCCATCCTCTTCGCGGTAGGTGCTTGAAGCATCTACCGGAAGGAAGCTACTCTCGTATACCTCGGAAACGGTCATCATGTTCTCATGTTTATTAATGCATGTCTCGCCATGTGTATAATAGTATAATACGTTCTCGTTACTATGCGCTTTTACGACTGTGCACAATAGTATGTTATATGGTGTTCAGGAGCACCAATATGATTGCAGAGCGCCACATGAACATACAACATCCCTAATCCTGCTCCTACACCTAGCCATAAAGAAAAAGCATCGCCAGTACCGAGCTGAAACCAAACCGTGTGTGGCAGCCAAAATGCATGATCCTTCTCTTCGATCAGCGACATTGGAAGACTCGGTGTGAGGTGCATCGGCTGGTCACAAAGGTGCGAAACATCATGAGAACGTGCCGTCTTCGGCGCAGTTCCTTGGATAGGCAGGTCAGAACTGCAGACAGTGGCAGCGCGATAAAACTTCTGCTTGTCACTATTGCCATTACTATATGTGAATCCTACCAAAAGTACTTCAACATGCATTTCGAGAACTATGCTACGTAGTACACATCAGAATCACATCATCATCTCTGCCACACTATGGTCTACAACAGCGACATGTGGCACGGTAGTCTGTGTCTTGGATATTGTTCGGCATTTCGTATGGGCCGAAGTACCACATGCACTGATGCGCAGAACGGCTTTATGCTCCACTGTGCTGAAAATATCTATGTACAAACACAAAATCTCCGAATCGAACACTGTACAGTTCACTCCTGATTTGTAAGGCTGATCAAGTAGAGCCTAATCCGAGCACTTGATTAATAG